CCTCTGCCCCCTCCCTCCCCCCACCCCCCTGTCTCTCCTTCTCCCTCCGTGTCTATCTTTTTGTCGCTGCGCTTACCGCGCTGTTCGGCTCCGTGTGTGTGTGTGTGTATGCGTGTGTGCGCGTGTCGAGTGTCGTGGGTATATCTACATATGCGTGCGTGAATGCGTGCGTGCGTGCGTGTTGCCTGCCTGCCCTGCCCGCCCGCCCGCCTGCCTGCCTGCCTGCCTGCCTGCTTGCTTGTGTATCGGCCGGGTTGCTCCGCGAGCGAGCGTGTGTGTATGTGCGACTGCTGGTGCAAGTGCATCGCGCGCGCGGCCGCGACACGCGTATCCCGCGTTACCGCGGAGTACGTATACACACGTACGTGCTCCGATATACTATACTTTGCGACTCGTGGATTTTCGAAGCGCGATTATACGCGGCCGCGAATCAATCTCGCGCGCGAGCGTGATCGATCGCGCGTTTTAAAGTTTCTAACTCGTACGCGAACGATTCCGCTCCAACGATTTCGTGGCTGCGAATTTCTTTTTCTGTAGAGTCGGAGCGCGGGGTTTAAATGCCCGCCGGACGGCACGTGGGATTTTGATTTCGATAGAAAGATAAAAAAAAAGAAAAAAGAAAGAGAAAACATCGATGTATAGCCAAGCGACGCGTTTGCTCGAGCGCCTCGCGGATGAAGCTTGGCGTTCGTTACACGGTGCATTCGTTTCATTTCGATGCGCATGTAAACATTCCGCTCTCTCAATAGCAGCGCCGGCGGCCCTCGAGGTATTTTCAACGGGAGCGTCGGCGAGGTTGGGTCGATGCATTTAGCGTCCTCGAGCGCACCTCCGCATACCCCCGTGCGCGCTAAACGGTGTGCGGTTAAAACGGAGCGTTCTCCAATCGCGTCGAAAAGATAAGCACGTCTCGCGGGACCGTTCCTCGCTATCCGAGTATTATCTCGGAGCGAGAGTCTTTTGGACAAACGAAACGAGATTGGATCTTCGCGCCTCACGCAGATATTTACTTGTTTAGACATCGAAACATGATTTTTTTTGTCTACTAAGCCCGAGGTCGGCGAAACTTTATTATCATTATTGTACTATTATAGTAATAATAATTGAATTTCCTTAATAAAACATTTATTAAGTTTCAGTAAACAATAAATTCAATGAAGCAAATAATAATTTTAACAAGAAATATTTATTTGAATATTGCCAACTTAACATTTACAGTAAATAAATATTTATTCGATAAAAAAAAATTGTCTAATCATATTAATGACTCTGTACCAAATAAATAAATCTTTATATTTAATATTTTAGTCATATAGTTGGTATTGTTCAAATAAATGATATTAAAATTTACATTTTTTTGTGTGTATCTTGTTATACATATAAATACCTACATAATTTCCTAAATATTACCTTTTGTTGATCCATAAAATTTAAAATTTTAATATCTAGTACAGAGAAAGCTTGCCGACCTTTGATTTAGGATGAGAGCCGCTTAAATTTGACTGTCAAGTAGCCGTTAACTGTCAGCTTTTAAAAAGTCATCCGTCGTGTTTTGTCTACCAGTTAAACATAGTACGGAACCGAATTTGGTTAGATTTTGCATTATCGGTATTATATATGAAAATTTTGTGCACGTTGCCCAAATTTTTCGCTCGCGGAGCTTAAAAGTATCGCTCAAATCGACAATCGAAGAATGGAATCTATTATGGAGATAAGAACCTGTTTATCGGAGCGTGGTCCACAGAAAGGCCGATTATACCGTGAAGATCACGAACACGTTTGCAACGTAAGAACTAACCGTAGTTGGCTTTCTACACCAAGCCCATTACTTAAGCTTTACCCCAAAAGAAATTGGCCAATCACAGTCGAATGTGAGAAGAATATATCGATTTTAATTGGTCAATTTCTTACGGCTTAAGACTTAAAGCGTCATAGAATAAGAATGGTAGCGAGAGTGGCAGGATGTGGAATAAAAAAAAAAATAAAAAAAAAAAGAAAATCCCCAGACCTGACTCCGTAAGTCTCGCCTAAGGAAGGGAGAGAAGGTTAGCCTGCGGCAAAATGTCTCACTAATATTTGAGTTTTCGTTCGAAGCACTTATAATCCCGCAAGGCTAACCGATCGACTATAAGGAGTCGTAAAGCTCGCTTACGACCGTTTTGTTTGCGGTGTGGTTGTTGTCATTGACGGGACCTGCACAGGTGGCCTCGGCGAGCAGCTCGGTGGGTGCTAGTCCCACGGGATCCGGAGTACCGGAGACCCCGCTGTCCGTCAAGAGTGCCGGCGCCAGTCCACCGCAGTCCAGCGGCAAGCATCTGCACATTAACCTGGGAAATCAGTTCAGGGCGGGTGGCTCGCTGCCGAACGTTAACAACAATGTCAATTGCGGCAACGACGCGAAAGAGCACTCCTCGCCGCATCCCGGCGCGATCCACTCGATCGACCTTAAGGTCTGTACCGATCTTGCCCGAACGAAAACATCCCTCAGTTGTTGTTGCCCCCGGCTTCTTGTTTCCCGAACGTTTCGTTGCACCCCCTGGAACGCACCCTCATCTCGTGATTCCACGGAGAAAAATTCTTCCAAATCGCGTTACGTCGATCTGTTTTGGATATTACATTCAGGCACTCTGCCGATTCATTCGAAAAGATCTCGGCGATCGAGAGAGCCAAATCTTTGGTTGATGCCAGACTTTTGTGATATTTCGAGTCGAAAAGTAAGGTTTTAAATTCTTATGTTCAAAGTGTGTATAATGATGAAAAATTAATGATTTTGATAATTTCGATCGCATTTTAGACGAACGTAATGGTTTTTATTAAGCAAAACTTAGAAAGAAATTCTTTCTTACATAAAATTGATTCCTGGAATCACGTTATTTTAAACTAATAACTTTGTTATGTGTTTCGCGAAGAAACTCGATAACTTATCATTATTTTAAAACTTTTTAATGAAAGCTTCTTTTAAATCAGCACAAAATGAAAGAGTTTTCTCCGTGTTTTTAAGGGTCGTTCCGCACTGCAGATATTTTACAATTCGCTTTTTTTCCGCACTAGGTCCTAGTGGAATTACGAAATTTATTTCAGATAATACAGTATTAATGTCTTGCTGTTTATTTTACTCGTATATATAAAGTAGGAAATATTGTTCATGTGCACATCACGAACGCAGTAGGAGTTGTATCGACTGACTGGTACCGATCGTAACAATTTTCTTTTCGTAGTGATCCTCGCCCCTTTTTCTTTTTGCAATGTTTTTACACAGCAATGAAATTGCATGGCACGTACACAAGCACGAATTAAAGATATTCCCGATTGCATTGGATATTATGAATGTCGTTGTGTAGTTGACTATTCTTTTTAGTAGTAATTAAATGGAGATTATGCGGTGACGAACAAAATAGTTAAAATTGCAAAATAATTAGAATTATAGCAACACGATTATGGTTAATTCGATGTAACTATGCTACGTTGCGTTTTGCAGGATAAACGATGCATACATTTTCGCTCGCTCGTGTTACACTAAAAAGAATGCCTGAAGGTTTTATCCTGCATTTTGAACTCTGTGACCTTTGTCTCGTGTCTGTATTGTACACTAGTTGCAGAGTATATATATTCGATAAACAATGAAGAACTACAATATTTTATCAAGCTGTGTAAAACCAACATAAATTCCACGCAGAAAATACTTTTATGGAAATGACCAAGCCCAGTCATTAATGATTCTATGTATTTATGCATAATTATTATTACATTTATGCAAATATCTGCTTCCGAGGGGATTTATAGAATGACGTAGATATCGTGACAACCTCATAGTGGGAGTTTCGAAAAGTTTTAACGAAAGAGTAAATCAATCGTCAAATTTCAAGTAGCTTAGTAATTTATAACTGATTTATTAGCGAACTGGTTAATGATTTATATGGTAAATCGGAGAAAAATATCGCGTGAAAAATTTTGTAGAATAATTTCATTTAGTCTTGATGTTATTTCAAAGTTCACACAGCAAAATGTACTTGCATTAGCAGCTGTGCATTATCCGAAGCAATAATTAAATTTCCTGGATGTAGTTTTCTCGTACCCAGGTGGACTGAGAAAATTACGCGATGTCATCTCAGATAGAGATCCAATGATGAAATTATACAAGATTTTTTTTTCCCACATTGATGGAAAAAATGCTGGTTGTCGTATCGTAAAATCACAAAGCGTAGGAAATTTCACGAATTAAAACCCCGTAATCATGTGTACTGCTACACGTAAACAAGTAATTAATTTACACGCGAAACTTTCGGAAATGTAAGCTATTATGTTATATAAAAAACGCGTGTACTTAAAATATACGATTGTCGAAATTATGGCACGCTATCGGGCGAGGAAATCCCTACCTCGTACATAATTAAAGGATTCGCTGTCAGACATTGTATATGAGTAAGTTCGCAATTTGTAAAGTCGACTTTAAACGTACAGTTTCTCATTTCTAAAATAGACTTACAAACTTATGGACTTACCATTCTTATACACTGGATCCTTCATAGTTTTACTGAACTGAAACGGTGATTTCTATATAGCTTTTCCTTCGATGTTTTACTTCACACAATGTTTTCTTTAATAAATATTTTCTCTCGAGAAGCTACTGTACCTAATTAACTTTGCTATGTAATTTACTCTTTGTAACGAATCCTTTTTAATTAATTTGACACACCCCGTTTCACTCTACACGCGATTCTGTGAACATTGAGAAAGTTAAATGGTACTGGAATCAAAGGCGAATAAAATCATAAAAAATTGTTTAATTAAACATGGACTCACAAATAGCTTGTGATTATGCATCTGTATCTCATACCGGCTCCCTTTATTTTGTTTGGATCAGATTTAATTTCAATGCATATTTATATCTTAGCCAATATTTTAATATGTCACAAACATTAATATTTTCTACTAAAATTTTATTTATATTAAACCGCACACAGCGTGTTCATAATAATTACTTACTATTATTATTATTATACAAATCACATTTTTGAAATTTACGTAATTCGTGTATCCCTATGCTACTTCTTTGTTCTTTATTATCTCCATGAGCGAATTGTTTTACTTCGTAACGTTATGCGCGGGATATATTGGAGAACATTGTCGCATGTGCTTGTAGAACAAACTTTTTTCCCCTGTGTCGAATTAAACCATAAACCACAACTGTAACAAAATACATTTACATGAATTAATTAACGGAAAACAAATATAAAAAGGATTTTACTGACGATGTTGATTTAACCGCACAGAAAATGTGCTCTTTTACAATAATGATAATAATATAATGTTGAATTAAAAAATAAAACTTTTTAATTACAATTTTATTAAGAGTCATTGACTTGAAATAATGAATCTATTTACCTCTGGTACAGTTCCTTGGACACATTTCGCTATTTCGTAGATTTTTTCGCATGCATCCGCGCCGTCTGAAACATGAACCGAATCAGAGCAGGAAGTTGATGAAATAATAACGAAAGCAGTAATAAAAAATGCATTTTGCTCGTACAACGTACCTTGCTTAGCGCATTTGTTTAAAATTTTGGTACCTATCTCTTGAAATTGTTCTGGGATAACGCTTATCAGCATGTCAGCTTCCAAATTACCATCTTCGTCGACCTAATTGGCGAGAGATCTTTTCGATCAGTTTTGCATTCGTAATAAGCGCGAAATAATATTTATAAAAATATTACCAAGCTGAAGGCATCGAGAAGGCAGTTCATGTAGCACGTTATACTCCGGTCATTCGAGAGCTTCCCATCGTTAACTTCATCGATAAGCACTGTATCGCGGAATTGAAATATCCGTTAAGTTATAAATGCGAGGAGATGAGAACTTTTCGAGATATATATATATATATATAGATAGATAGAAAGCGCTCTCTCTTGTGAGATAGACTTTCTTTCAAAATGAAGTAGGACGTTTTACTTTGGGGCTTTAAACGATTATGGAAGGCAGTTTGTATAGCGCGGGATTATTGGCCGCATGTTGATCGTATGCTATTAATTGCGGGGCTCACCTTGAGACGTTCCGTGTTCGGACATGCACCGTTCCTTGTCAGCTTGAACCATCTCCAACATTTCCGCGGGGATCCAGTCAGGTGGCTACGCAAAATCAGAATTTATTACGAGCGCGTCGCAGTGGGTATTCTCGTGTGTCGGACTTTAGCACCATTCTCGACAGGTCGCGCGTGCGCGCGCGCGGCACGCTCGGCGAATCGCACATCACAATGCGTACAGTGGGTCACTGTCGATTATTGTCCCTATTGTACGGGGATCTCTGTATCGCGTTTAACGAAAGTAAGCTGAAAGGCTTACCCCGGCGGACACGTAAATCGCCTGTAGCAACACTACGCCGAGGATCACTGACACGTGCATTGTCGCTTGCTCGCTCGCTCGCTCGCTTGAACCTCGATATGTCACTTTTCAAAGGCAAAATGTACCATCAGCGTCGGTTACACGCTGTTTTTATAACGCCACGATGACGGGATGTGGGCGTGCTTGTCAGAGGGCTAATGCTATATCCTTCACTTACTGATTGAGGCTCTTCGTCGTTAAGTCGCCGGTTAAACCCCAGCTAATTTTCGACTCTTAACGGAAGCGTGCAGAGCGCTCAATTACATGTGTCCGCGACCTTGTATGTATCCTGCATATGCACATACAAGCGCACATGTTCGGTGTAGTGCGTGGAACTTTTTCATTCAGTACATATGAAATTGATATCGACAAAGCTAGGGAATAAATTATTTTTTCCTTCGTTTCGCTCAACCATGATACTGTCGAATAAGAGACGTATATCTAGGTAAATTATTTTAGTAAAATATTTTCAACTTACGCAAAAATTCTAATATGATTCATTAAATGACGTAAATTTTTAGAATTTAAAAAAATCATCTTTAAAAGAAAAAAACAGTCGTTATTGTGACATATAGTTATTACTGTTGAGCTTTTTCTAGTTGTAATTTTTCATGGAAATTATGAAATTATACTTGAAATATTTACTTTATGCTGAATAACGGGAAGCTCTTAATATACGTAATTAACTCCATTGAACCTAAGCCGGAGACGGGCGCTTATTCGGTTCAACGTACCCTATGGTGTTTTCAATTCCGATATATTTACTGCCGGAATTAATTGTGTATATCTCAAGCTTTGGATATTCTGTTTTCCAACAATTTAATTTGCATGTCCCTGTATTCGAATGTATCATCATGTTATAAAAGATTTTTGTAGTATACGACGGAATTATTTTTTTACTATATATATATAATTCATAATAAGTACATAAAAAATACTTCACTTATAAATATCGATATCTAAACAAAGTATGTCTATCGATAATACGGAAAATGCTTGCACGAGACGGTGTCGTAACCAGTAAAGGTACAATGTATGCATGCAGCGATTACCAAATTACCGCTGAATAGTAA